TAGGTGAGAAACCCACTTATAATTCTCTGAGCCCGGAATCTAAGGCTATTTTGCAAGTATTTGTTGCACATTGAATTTTCTTGAAATGCAACTGTAAGTCCAGGGGTGATTCTACTTTGTTCTGGTTAGAACTTTCCCCAGGACGTTCACCAGTTTGGAAAGCCAGGACACAGCAAACACTTCGGGTGACATTGGACTTGCACACACAGCACACTGTCAGGCCTGCACTTGGGAGCTGTGACTCTCACGCTGTGTGTGAGATCTCACTACTCATTCGGTCTTTCGGTGGACTTACATGTCAAAATACATATTATTATAAACGTTTATTTTCTCCCTTCTATTATAGTTAGCTTTTTAATTTAGTTTTTCTTGAAATTATGTGAGTAGATAGGTTATAAATTTAGGAATCTTATTTTGAGACCAAAAGGGGGCATTAAAATAGTTCTTATGAAAAGGAGGTGCTGGGTCCAGTAGGACCCAGTGAATGTCAAGGTCTCACCAACAGATTTGTGGGACCTTGTGAGGAGATGGAGAGAGGAGGGGCTGTCCTCTTCCTCAGAATTCCACCAAGAGGGTCCAGGCTTTATTGAGGTTCACTTCCCTCTAGGCATAGGGTCTCAGGGTTTCCTGAGGTGAGGAGCAGACATATTTCTTCCTATGGACGTTCATGGCAAGGATACATGGAAAAATGAATACACAGGACGTTGTGTGTGTCCCTTCCATTTATAGTTTTCTAGCCCTGCCAACAGCTTTGGCTGAAATGACAGGTGCATGCACCCCAGAACCCCTCTTCTCTATGCCCCAGACACAGTTGATTGGAAAAGAGGTGGGCACTTCTCCAAACCAAACTAATCTCGTAGGCTGGCCGGCGACTTACACACAGATGGCTTGGTACAAGATGTTGAACTTGATCAATCAGATTCTCTGTTATGAGGATCTGAACTAGGAAATAGAATAAAGTAGTTCATAGCTGGAGTTGAACCTGAAAAGTTGCCTTAGTAAAAGTCAAGGTTGAAGACAGGCGTGGGTGGTGGGAGGAGGGGTGGAGTGAAGTATAATTCGAGGAAGCAGAAGCTCATGAGTAAATACAAGCCATCGGAGGTAAGGCAGTCTTCTCCTTTAATGCATAAAGTATGAAATGTTTAAATCCAAACCTCAAAGTGTCGTGAGTCTACCACACTTGCTGTCTCGCAAACCTCTCCCTGGGTCTCCCCCTGTGTACACCAGGCTGAGCTGCACACCATTCAGTCTCTGGAACAAGTCATCCTCCTCTCAAAAAGCTTACGCACATGTCACCTGGAATATTCTGCAAACTCCTTCTCAGCTCTTCGCAAACATGAGTTGTCATCCTACAAATCCCAGGTCAAATGCCATCTCCTCAGAGAGGGCTGTCCTGCTAGCTCACGGAGATCTACCTCTCTCATCATCCCCGGCCCTTGTTCTGAATTACTATACTCTTCCCAGCCTTTTCACATCATGAAATTATTTTTTAAATAAATTTTATTGATTACGTTATTACAGTTGTCTCGTTCCCCCCCATTCATTCCCCTTCACCCCCCACCTACATTTCCCCCCTTTAGTTCATGTCCATGTGTCATAAGGTCTTTAGCTTCTCCAGTTCCCATATTATTCTTACCCTCCCCCTATTTTCTACCTACCATCTATGCTACTTATTCTCTGTACCTTCTCCCCCTCTCTCCTCCTCCCACTCCCCTGTTGCTAACCCTCCATGTGATCTTCATTTCTGTGGTTCTGTTCCTGTTCTAGTTGTTTGCTTTTGTTTTAGGTGTGGTTGTTAATAATTGGGAGTTTGCTGTCATTTTAGTATACATGTTTTTTATCTTCTTGTTCTTAAATGAGTCCCTTTAACATATCATATAAGAAGGGCTTGGTGATGATGAACTCCTTGAACTTGACCTTATCTGGGAAGCACTTATCTGTCCTTCCATTCTAGACGATAGCTTTGCCTGGATAGAGCAATCTTCGATATAGGTCCTTGCCTTTCATGACTTGGAATCATGAAATTATTTCTTGTTTAATGCTTTTCCTCTGGTCTGTAGCCTCCACAATGACAACGCCCAAGTTTGCTTCATTTAACATTGCGTAACTGGAGAAAAACATGGTGCCTAGCAAATAATAGATGATCAGTAAAAATGTGTTTATGACTGAATGACCAAATGAATGTATTTTTTACTATGGTTCAGTAGACCTAAGACATGGTTCACATTTCTTAGCTTCACAATAGTCATGCATCACTCAAGAATGAGGATGTGTTCTAAGGAATGTGCCGTCGGATGGTTTCGTCGCGGTGTGGACGTCAGAGTGGGGTTGCGGTTAGAGCGCACGGTGGGTTAAACTCTTTCAGAAATGCGGCTGTACTGCTTCACATTCCCATCGGCCACGTGTGAGAGTTCCGTCACCAATTGCTCCTCAGCAACTGTCACGGTTACCTGTTCTAACTTAGGTACTCTAATATGAGCACAGTAGTGTTCGACTGTAATCTTAATTTGCATTTCTCTAACACTGATAAGTTTTCATGCTTTTATTCGCCACATATGGAGCTTTTTAGGTGAAGTGTCCGTTCGACTCTTTTTGCTCATGTTGTTACTGGGTTGTTTGTTTATTTATTTGTTTTATTGCGTTTTGAGAGTCCTTTACATATTTTGAAGAAAATATCCTGTATAAGACAGGTAATTTTCAAATATATTATTTTCTAGGCCTTTTTGACTAATTTAGTTTTTTCATTTTTTTCTGGTCTCACAGTTCTTAAGGCACTTAATGTTCATAGCTTTCATATCTTTTTTTAAGCCTGATTTTTATATATTGAGGAGGCAACGATATTTTAAAAAATACAAAGTATAAAGGACAATAAGACAACAAATATCTCTAATGCTACCATCCAGATAGAGAAATAGAATACCAGCACTGCTTCTTCCAATTCCTATATTCTTAGAGTTAGCCATTAGCCTAGATTTGTGCTTTATTGGTAGTTTTATCATCTATGTCTATGTCCCTAACAAAGTATTTGTTAATATGTGCACAATTTTGATCAAATCCTAGGAAAAAATTTTGTTAAGATTTCGGTTGGAATTTCATTGAACCCTACAAACAAAAGGTATAAAATTACATCTTTAAGATATTAAGTCTTCTAATTCATGAACATGGTATGCACCTCCATTACTTTAGGCCTCTCTGTTGCCTCTTGGTCAGGGCTTCTCTTTCTCCCCATACAGTGTTTGAACGCGTCTTGTTTGAAATGTTCACAGGCATTGGGATGTACCGTTCCTTTTGTCTGTCAGCAGTTTGATTCAGCTTTACTTAGATTTTATTTTCTTTGTGTTTACCCTGCTTGCACTTCTCTAAGCCTCTGGGGTCTGCGACTGATGTCTTTTAGCAACATTTACCTTCTGCGCATGTCTTTCATTCGTGTGTGCTAGAAACTATTTAAAAGAACTGCAGAGAGGAGAATAATTAGTATTTTCACCCAGGGAGAGCGTATCCTCTTCCCTCTGTTAGTTGGTACTGTTGGTTAATGCACCTCTGCAAACCTAGACAATGAAACACCCCTAGTTCTTGTAGTGTGTCAGGTAGAGGTGAGATAAATTTTAAAATTCCAAAGAAATAATTTCTTTGATGGTAATGAGGGTCCAGAGATTAATAATGTGACTAAAGACAGCTAGGAAGAGCACAGTAGATTACTGAGAACAACCTGAGTTAATCACTGCAAGTGCACACATATAGACTTTAAGCCAGGGGTGTCCAGACTTTTGGGGTCTCTGGGCCACACGGGAAGAGGAAGAGTCGTCTAGAGCCACACATTCAATGCACTGCAACATGTGATCACCAAAAAATCTCATAATGTATTAAGTTAATTTATGATTTTGTGTTGGGCCACATTCAGAGCCATCCTGGGCTGCATGCAGCCCTTGGGCCACAGGCTGGATGTCCCCACGGGACATCGACCTTAAAAAATCCCAGAAACATAAGAACGGGTAAGCATACCTTTCACTGGCTGGCAGGACAATGGTATCATCATGCATCATGCAGCGTCCCGAAAATCCCACTGCACACTTGTGAGTGAGATTGAAAGAGGTGAATGAGGCTTTATTTTTATTATGAAAACAGTTTGGACTTCACCGAGCACCTCAAAGGGGACCTCCAGGGAACTGGGGTGAGAAGGAGGGGTAGACAGACAGGCAAATCAGCTAGAGGAGTTTATTTTATCTTATTTATTTATTAAAAGATTTTATTCATTTATGTTTAGAGGGGAAGGGAAGGAGAGAGGGAGAGAAACATCAATGTACGGTTGCCTCTCGTAGGTCCCCTGCTGGGAACTGGCCTGCAACCCAGGCATGTGCCCCGATTGGGAAGCGAATGAAGATTCCTTGTTTCGCAGGCCTGTGCTCAATCCACTAAGCCACACCAGCCAGGGCTATTTTTTATTTTTAAAAATATTTTTAAATATATTTTTTACAGAGAGGGCAAGGGAGGGAGAAAAGGAGGGGGAGAAACATGGATGTGAGAAACATCAGTTGCCTCTCTTACCCGCCCCAACCAGGGAGGGAACTGCAACCCAGGCATGTGCCCTGACCCATAATTAAACCTGCGACCTTTCACTTTGTCAGAGGACACCCAACTGAGTCACACTAGTCAGGGCTTATTATTTTAATATTTTTCTTTTTTTATCCTCACCTGAAGACATTTTTTCATTGCTTTTACAGAGTGAGGAAGGGAGAGAGAGGAACACAGATGTGAGAGGGAAGCATGGATTTGTGGCCTCCCACACTTGCCCAGACCAGGGATTGAACCTGCAACCCAGGCATGTGCCCCAACCAGGAACCCAACCAAAACCCCTCCGCTACACGATGATGCTCTAACCAACCAACTCACACCGGTTCAGGGCCGGAGGTGTTTATTGATCTCAGGAATTCTAGGGGGGGTGGGTCAGACGCAGAATAGCTTCATCTGCATTTTTATTAGGGCTTCAGGCCTCACAGAACTCAAAGTGACCACGGCCTTTTTATTTTTGGCTGAAACTTGAACTTCACACAGCATGGTTTACTATTTGTGCAGTACACATACATCTTTTCCTTCCTGTAGCATGTGCGGCGGCATTTCCCACGAAGATTCCAGCATTTTTGGGTGCCACCTGACAAAAAAAGACAGCAGAGTGGAGACCATGTCAGTCCCGAGAAGAGGCCGGTTCCGGATTTGAAAGGTGTAGACGCGGATTAAAACAGGTGTGATACGGGACCCTCAGGTTCCCTGCCCTTCGTCCCTGACCTCCTTTCTTTTTTTTTCTTCCCCTCTTTTTAAAGACTTTGTGGTAAAATGCAAATAATATAAAATGTACCAGTTTAAGCATTTGAAAGCATACAATTCAGAGGCATTAAGAAGATTCACGAGGTTGTATGACCATCACCACCATCTAGTTCCAGAACTTTCCAAATCGTCCCAAACAGAGACCTTGCCCACCCCCCTCCCCCACCCCCGTATTCTCATTTCCTCCTTCCCCCAGCCCTGGGCAACCACCAGCTGGTCCTCCTTTTTCTAGATTGGCCTACTCTGGATATTTTATGCCAATGAAATCATGTAATAAAATATGTGACCAGGTCTTCTTTCGGGTCTTCTTTCATGCAGCATGATGTTTTTAAGGTTCATCCATATTATTTTTTAAAAGATTTAATTTTTTTAGAGAGAAGCATCAATATACATAAGAAATATTGATCAACTGACTCTCGTACACGCCCCAACCAGGGACTAGGGCCGTAACCCACACGTCTGCCTTGCCTGGGAATCGAACCCTTGAACCGGCAACCCTTTGCTTTGTGAGAGGATGCCCAACCAACTGAGCCACACCAGTCAGGACGATGTGGTTTAAAAAAAATTTTTTTTTTGTTAACATTCCATCACTCTTCATAATTTTATTTTTATTTTGTTTTCTTTTTCCCCAAGGTCCCTCAAGAAAGTGGCCATACTCGGGGTTTTTCTTTTTTAAACTGTGGTAAAATACACTTAACATAAAATTTGCCATCTTAACCATTTTTAAGGGGACTGTTCAGTGGTAGTAAATGCATTCACGCTGTTTTGCACCCACCGCCATGCACCCCCATGACTTTTTTCATCTTGTAAAACTGAAACTCTGTACCCAGGAAACAATAACTCCCTATCCCCCTCCCCCACCCAGGGAACAACCCATCCATACTGGGTTTTGATTCTTTTCCTGTCCCAGAATCTTGACTAACCGACGACTGACAAGGCTTGCAAAAACAGCTTTTGAAAGCACTGTTCTGACACTCTCGGGGGCGGGATTGCACCAACGGCATGAACCAAGAAGCACAAAAGTCTGGAGCAGTCCCCAACTGCTCCAACCACAAGTCTTGCCACAGTTAAAGGTGAAGTCTGCTCCTTGGGCCATACAGTGACATTACCCCTCTTTCTCTCTTCTATAAAAACTCCAAGCTTGCACAGAGCCAGGGGTGCAGGTGCTCCCTGATGTCCCTCAGCTGAACAAAGACTGTAACCTCTATTTGTCTCAGTTAAACTATCTTCTTCCGACAGTTTGGTGCCGTGAACATTCTCCAGTAATCAGTCATTTTACTCTTTGTCGTCTCCTTTCTGCTAGAGATTTAGACCAGGTTTATTGTGTGATCAGGGCTAAGTTTTCTTTGAGATTATCTTTGCACCAATATTTGTGCTCGGTGGGAAACTGCGTTGTCTGGCGAAGTACTTTCACCTGGGGTGATCTCGATGCCCTGGGGATGCTTGGCAATGAAATATCGGGAGACAGTTTTAGGTTTCACAACCGGTGGAGGGGCGCAACCGCAATGACTGGGTGGAGGCCACGGATTCTCCTGAACATCCTTCCACGCACAGGACAGCCACAGCAAAGACGTACCCAGCCCAAACCTCACTAACTGCCAACAGGGGGCACGAGTCCCTCCCTGGTCTAGACACATTACAACCTCCGGAGTGTATCCACTTTTGATTATGTGGGAATTACTTTACAGCCCCACGAACTGTTGGTAAGTGACAGCAGCGCCAAACAATGACTTTCTACATCTCTGCCAGTGCGCTGTGCTGCATGGACGGTCTGTCCACTTCCTCCCCTTCAGCGTGGCGGGGGGGGGGGGAGCTGGGTTTTAAAGACCTATTCGTAAATTCATTGCAACATTCCTTCCCGCCATATATACATTTGTGCTCTGGCCCAGTTACACGACCTGCCTTGTACTCTCATGATGAGTTAATAAAATCTTTACACATGTTCATGTCTGTATGGCTATGAGAGCCAGGGGTTTGCCTTTTTTTTTTTTCTTCCCCAAATTACCTTTAAAAACTTCTTTGGAACCTTGAGCGAACTGAAATCATAAGCACTAGACTCTGAAAGGATATGTTGAGGGAAAGTGGGGGGCTTACCCCAGTCAGATGTGCTATGAAGACACTCAGTATCTCTGGGCTGTCTGAAATACAGCTTGGAGAGAAATCTGGCCCATCACAGTGAAGAAAACTTAGCGAACTACTCTAAGAAAACACTGGTGGGGAGGCTTTAATGGGCCCCTGAGGCTAGTTCCAGGATTTGTCCCACCAGCCATTTTAATTGCTCTGGAAAAACAGTGAAGGAGGCATGTGAAGGGCCCTCTCCCTAAATCTCAAGCATTTGAATATTTCCTGACTACTGTCTGCCTGTTCGGGAATGACTAGACGCTTTTCCTTGCTACGAAGCAACAGCATTTCCTGTGGCTAAAAAACAATTGCTGTTGGCTTTTCCTAACCCTAGAAAAAGCCAAACTAAAGTAATAGAATAGAGATTAGTAGTTGCTGGTGGCTGGGGGCCGGGAGGTGACTGATTGCAAAGGGGCACGGGGTGTCCTTTCTGGGGTGAGGGAAATGAATTATACTGATTGCGGTGCTGGCTGTATGAATGAACAAATTAGCTGAAGCTCATATTGTATGCTTAAAATGTGAGCATTTATTTCACATAAATATTAACTCAGTAAAACCAATCAGAAAAGAAATAAGAGACAAATTCAGCAGAAAGTGACAAAGACTGAAGTTGGCAAAGGAGATTCAACACAGAGACAAGAAGATACCTGGAGGAGGAAAAAACAGAATGAGATATCGGAAAAATACTCAAATTGTAATTTAAGAAGAAGTTCTTTAAATGAAAGATGACTTGAAAATGCCACAGTGCACAACGTCTCTGAGAATGTTGGTGTGGAAGAAGGAAGATATAGAAGAATATTTTAAGTACAAATCTTGTAGTCCAATAGAAAGTATCAATATGAATTCATGAGGTATTTTAGAGGCATTTAAATGTACTGGTTTTCCCTCCTAGCTCTACCGAAAGATGAGGAAAGGACCAATTTAGCAGCATTGAATATCTCTAGCAACTAGATCATAGTCCTGAAATACCACTTTCCCGTGGAAGAAAAAATCAGCTTCTTCAAGAAATGGCTTTCAAGATCTGTGGCAAGGACTGTACAAGATGATCCTAGAATATCTTGTCACACCAGAAAACCAGATAAATTATAAAGACAAGAAAGGGATGAAGATGTAACCAATAAGCTAAAAAGTCTTAAGGGATGTCAGATAGATGTTAAAAGTGGCCGTGACAAAAATTGGGTGCCTATGGACTCATCCTTAGCAATGAGACTATAAAGAAATGCAAAGAACTGATTGCTAGGAAAGTCGAGATGCTGCATAATTTGGGGGAGGGAGACAGTTGTGATGGGGGGGTAGGTGGGTTTTTGGTTTTTTGGTGGCCGTCAGTGTTCTACTGATCGACCTTGATGATGGTCACAAGGTTGTGTGCTTTATAACAGTTCATTAAGCTGTGCATTTGTTTTATGTGATTTTCATAATCTGTAATGATGCATTTTATTTTACAAAAAAACACAACAAAACAAAAAGAAAACCCCCTCACCACTTAACAATAAAATCTCAACTTTAAATTCAAGAGTGTCCAGATGAATTGTGGGTGAGAGTGACGGGAAAGATGATACCCGTGTGGCCGCTTTGGTGGTTCCGTAGCACTGATTTCCACATTGTAAAATCAGGCACAGAATTTACCTAGCAACCTTCACTCTAGGCGTCTGTCCTGGAGAAATACATGCACAGATGGAGACTATAGTTACACTGGAGATACAACTAGGAACAAGTTGGAGGTAGAGACTGCCCTCAGAGAATGTCCAGTCTAGTGGTGGGGAGCGGGGCAGGGGATACACAGCTGTCAGAGAAATAGCTTCCCAGATATTTGGTTGACTAGAGTGATAATGAGTGTTATAAAGGCAGAACTCGGTGCTGTGTGTGAGGAGGTGTAATGGAAAAGTAGGTGACATGTCTCACCTAAGCCTAATAACTTCCGAGTTCTTGGGCTTCACATATATGTCCAGAATTTCCACCATGAACCTAACTTTATATTTTCAAAGTATTAAAGTAATATATATTTCATTTCCCTTTAATTTTGGTTGCCGAAAACCAGGATTGGGCTGTTTCTGGGCTTTCGGGAAATGGTAAAGAACACTTAGAATGTCAAACTCATTGCTCAGCTTAAATGAGCTGAGTAGTTTTAGTTTAGAGCAAGACAATTTTTAAGAACCAAAATTTACCAAGAAGAGTCAGGATTTCCAATTTCAAAGAGCTCCTTTACCTATTGGTAGGTGAGCCTGGCAGATTCGGATAAGACTCAAGAAACTTCCATTGATCTCTGTTACCACCGTCACACCCAACAGAAAGTAGAAAGGAAACGCTCTCTCCAGGGGAAAACTGGGCATTTAAATCCATTTCCTGCAGCAGCAGCAGCAGCAGCAGCAGCAGCAGCAGCAGCTGCAGGCCTGAGGCTCCAGCAGAACCTCATGCCTCGCCTTGGCCAACCAGGCTGATGGTGAACCCGCCAGCAAGCTAGGAACCAAGGCTTTCCACCCCTTCCTCACTACTGGCCTGCTGGCTGACCTAGAACGTACAGATAACTAATGTGAGAAAAGCAGGGACAAGAGAGTCTTTTGCTACAAACAGCCAGGTAGGTCTGGACAAACAGCCAGCATTTTACCCCTGGCCTCTGAGTGTCGCCCAGCAACTGCTAATAGACAGGACCAGCACACCATGGCGCCACCTGGAGGATGATTAGAAATGGCTGAGGGGCCCCGGCCCATGTGGCTCAGTTGGTTGGGGTGCCATCCCAGACATGGATGGGTTGCAGGTTTGATTCCTGGTCAGGGCACATGCCTAGGTTGCAGGTTCAATCCTCAGTCAGGGAACCTACCAGAAGCAACCAATTGGTGCTCTCCTGTTACATCAATGTTTCTCTCTCTCTCTGTCCCCCCACCCCTTCCTCTCTCTATAGAAGGACTGAACAAATGTCCTCAGGTGAGAATAAAACAAATAGTAATAATTAGGAAAAAAAAGAAATGACTGAGGAAATGGCTGAGCATCTCCGTCCGCCCTCCTGTGGCATAAAACAGATCCAGAAGTCCCCTGAGTCCCCTGCATCTCTGGTGGAGGTAGGAAAACCAGTGCGAAGTTGAGGGCCAGAGGGACTTGCTAAGAGTAGACCCCCGTGCATAAGACAGTGGTGCGTGTGTGTGTGTGTGTGTGTGTGTGTGTGAAGAGCCTAAACCTAAGGGCCAGATGGAAGATTTGGCTGAGAAAAAAGGCTGTCCATGGGGCTCTCGACAAGAATTGAGATTTAGCCATGGGACCCAGCAGCAAGTGCCAGCAGGACACTCACCGACCACATAGTGATACAATGAGGCACATTGTCCCAGAAGGTAGTGACGGTCCAGCACAGGGCTCTATCCCACTTCCTTGTGCTCCTGCCCCAGGGCCTTGGCACCTGATGTTTCCTCCAGCTTGAATGTTCTTCCCCACAAGTCCACGTGGCTCACCCCTCATCCTCCCTCAGATCACGATGAACCATTTGTCAGCACACACTTAAAATGGCACATCTACCCTCCTATTTTCTATCCCCTTTTCCTGTCCATTCTGCTCATTATATTCATCATATGGCATTGCATATGTGTCATTGATTTTAATTTTTTTCTGTCTCCTTCAATAGGATGTAAGCTCTGAGAGGACAGAGATTTTGCTTGTGTTATTCTGATGTGTTCACTGCTCTACCTGCCGCACCTATCCCAGTGCCTGGAGCATGAAATCCATTCAACCACGTTTACTGAATGAACCGATTCATGAAATCGTGATATATCAAGTTACTTTCTCTCAAACGCAGCTGCTATCCTGGAAGGAGAAGAGGAGCATGCCAGAAGAGAAATGCTAAAAGGCTGAATATTTATTCAAAAGAGACAGAATGACCTTGGTGACCATTTTAAACCAGAAGGGATGACTAACTGCTGAGTTTACCCGCAGATGTCCCACCGCAGCAGGAGGAAAGTTCCTGGGAAAAGTCAGATGAGTGATACAAAGTAGAGAAGCTACATTTTTTGCACACCAAAGTTTCAATGTGTTCTTTGTTTCCCCCTCAACCAGTTATTGCTGTAGCAGTTTGAGGAATGAGGAGATTGAAACTCTGAGCAGCCAAGATGTTTGCAGAGGGGCGGGGCGCGGGGCAGGGGGCGGTCACCGAGTTAGAAAATGCTGGGGCAGTTTCTAACCCAGGCTCTGGGACTTGACTTTCCTCTCTCCCCCAGAAACATGGTTTCAGGCATTCCCCACAGGCAGATACAAAGGCTGAGGTTGGCCCGTTTAAGGAAATTCACACACTGACACCAGTGGGAAGGTTAGACGAAAGCCTGGGGTGGGCAGAAGCTTCTGGCAGTTGAGCAGGGGGCCAGGTAGCTCCTGCTGGAGTTGGAGGAACAGGCAAGTCTGATTGCGGCCCACCCTGCTTAAGCCTCCCCATGGCTCTTGTGCTCGGCATTCCAGGCCCATCCTCAGCTGTAGCCCCGGCCAGGCCTCTGACCCACACCCCTAATTTGGGCTGAAGGCACCATGGTTTCTCCCACATCTGGCCCTCTGCATGAACTGATTTCTGCCTGGGACCCACTATCTATTTCCACCTCTTTCCCTTCCCCTTTTAACTTCCACACACTTTTCAGGACACCCAGAACCCCTCTGGGAGGGCTCCCTGGCCCTCAGTCTGGGCTGGTCCCACCATGGGCACCCCAGCCTCCCGCCTCCCCTCTAGCACAGTTTGTGTCACTCTGGGTTGTAAATGTCATTTATCCCTGTGACCCTGGCTCCCAACTCAGCGTCTGGCACTCAGAGAGCAATAGTAAATAGGAGCTTTTCTCCCCTGCGAAGGTGGTTGTGATCCTTATCAGATTTTTTCTGGGACTATTTTGCAAAAGGGTCACTACTGTCCTCTCCTCTTCCTGCTTCTCTTGCCCACCTCTCCCATTCTTTCTCGGGTCCTAGGCCCCTGGGCACACTCCCTGGGCCAGCAGAGACGGGGTGGCTGGCCAGAAGTTCCAGATGTCATAGTTGGTACCTGAAATCTGGCACCTGCTGCTGGTGAGAGGGCCCTCTCCAGGTGGCTCTGAAATGTGACCTGAGGCCTGGCAGCCTGCCCTCCCTAACCTTGGGATCCGGTGACCAGGCCTCTGTCCCCAACCTTGTCCCTTCCCTGAAGAGGTCCAGTTACCTGGAGTGAGCTGGGACAAGAGCAGAAGCGCAGTCAAAATCACCCATAGGAGCTTCATGGCTGGAAGCGGCCCAGGGTGAAGTTGCAAGTCCGATGTGAAGGCAAAGCTAATGCGAGAGAGCTCTGGCCTCTCTGGCGTGAGCTCCCTTTGACCAATCCGAACAGCTGCCACCCACACGTGCCCTCAGCAGCGGACGGGCGCCGCCGACGGGCGCAGCCCCCGCACCCCCGGAGCCCACATGCGTAGCCTTGCACCTCAGCTGGTGCTCCTCCTCTAGTCATTTAGGTCAGCCGGGAGAGGTCGGGCAACAACCAGGATCCCCCAGCCCAAGATCTGCACACCTTCTTCCACCCAGCTCTAAACGAGGGGACCACAAGGGGGCGCTATGCACGTGGAATCCAGAGCAACGGTGGGGTAGGGCGTGGTAGGTGTAGACTTCACAGAGAAGGTACACTGAGCAGTGTTTTGAGGAATAAATACCAAAGTAGCAGCCAGGTGAACCAACATGGTTTTCCAGGCAAAGGAGGTCTAGACAGAGGCTTACGGTGGTGTTGACAATGAGCAAAGTGACGTAACAAGCTAAAACTGGAAGGAAAATGATGGTGAGAGGTGAAGCTCCCAGCACCAGCCTGGCTGTGTGCCCTCGGAGTACCAGCCGCCCCTGCCCCCTGCCGTCTGGGTACTAACCCTGCATCAGACAGATGTGCCCTCAGGGTCTTGCCTTCTGGGCACCAGGTAGCGCCCTTTCTCAGGGATCCAAGGACCAGCTATTTGGGGCGTGTCTGAACTCAGGTTTGGGAAGTCTGTTCTCTTCCCTTTCGTTCCGCAACCCGAAGGCGGTAGGCCCATCCGTAGTCACAAATTTGTTTCCTCAGGGCCCTCTTTTTGCTCTTTCAGTTTTCCAACAACAGTGTAACCCGTTTTGTATATTAAGTGTCCTGTGTGGCTTCCACTTCCTGGCCGGACCCTACTTGATTCAGAGGTCAAGGGTATACCAGCGTTAGGATTTATGAGACAAAATAACATTGAGCACGTCTCTAGGTGCAGATAATACAGGGAGGAGGTTGAAGACTGAATGGTAAGTGAAAGAGTGAGGTCACCAAGTGTCAACAATTCTTTCTAAAACCTTCAGGATGAAGAAGAGACAGCAGCTAAGAAAGGACTCAGGGCCCCAGGCCTAGACATCCACCCGTATTGGGTTGTTTGTTTTCCTGAGGGAGGCTCATTTTTTCAAACATGTGTTAGTTAAGGCTCAGTCAGAGAAGCCACGGTCAGTACTAGGGAATAAGGACTTTGTTATAAGATTTAGACTCCATTCCATTGTGGAACAGCTGGCAGGTTAGAGATATATCCAGGGCCGTGGTGGGGTTGCTGAGGTGCCTGACTTAGAAGTCTGAAAGGCTGGTGTCTCGTTAAGACTTCACGGAGAAGTGTTTGGTGGTAGGCCCCTGGCCCGGGGTCACTGCTCAGCAGGGCTGGCAATTGGCAAGGAGAGCCCACCACACTGAAGGGAAAACGGGGCCCAGAAAGGCAGGTAGAGCCCTGAAGCTGCTTTTGCCCTGGGGGCACCTGTAAACTTGATGTTTGGCTGGTCTTGAGGTGAGAAGAAGAGAATTCAAAGGCCAGGGCCCCCTCAGGGCCCTCACGTTAAATGGGGACCACACAGGTCCATACACTGAGAGTGAGGGTGAGCCACAGGAACCGTCTAGCCTTGCTCCAGTCGCTTTTCTCGTTGTTGAGCAGAGTAAGGCAGAAAAGTCTTTAGGATGCCGTAGCTACAAGCTAGTTTTCAAGGGTTTTTGTTGCTCAAATGCAGTATCAAGTGAATTGTAAAACAACAAAGCAAAACAAACAAACAAACAAACAAATCCCAAGCCTTCGAATTATGAATTTGTTTCAAAACGTTCCCAAACCGGTAATGTTCCAGGTATTTGACAGACGCAAATGCTAAAGGAAGGCAGCTTGCCTATATCCCCGCAAATCACAGATAAATTCAAGGGCAGGTAACAGTACGTATTTGAAGATTATGAAGCACACAGAGAAACGCGGTGCCATCAACAGGAACCCTACGTACCACACTTACACAACTTCAGTTATTAGAATGATCAGATTGTGTGTGTGAGAGAGAGATGTTTAGCAGCATTTAGTCATACTTCCGGAAGGAGTGGAGAGAGAGGGGTTCAAGGTTATTCTGGAGAGTTAATGGCTGAGAATTGTATAGCCCTGCTGAAGTTCGTAAATTCACAGATTCAAGAAGCTCTAAGCATCTCAAGCAGAACAAAAAAAAGAAAACAAGCTTTAGACATGCCATAGCGAAGTTGCAGAGCACGTGTGAACTCACGTGCACGTGTACACACACAGTAAAAATACCTTGAAAGCTGCCAGAGGGGAGAGACAGACAACCCTCAGGGAGCAACAGTTAGGCTGACAGTTGCCTTTTTAAAAACAATAATGATGGAACATGGAAGAGAGTAGAATGATATGTTCAGTATATGCTACAATATTTGTCCATCTAGAGCTATATAACCAGAAATTTTTTTATAAGAATCACGGTAGAATAAAGCCATTTCTCAGCAAACAAAAACTAATCAAGACTGGTACCAACATACCTCTACTAAAAGAAACATTAAAAGATGTACTTTATGCAGAAGGAAAAATAATCCTGTCTGAAAGGTCTTAGGTTTAAGAAGAAATTTAGCAAATGAAGTGATGTGTGTAAGAACACACCTAAATAATATAGAAGCAAACTCTGTGTCCAACCATAGACAACTGGATAAGGAAGATGTGGTACATAAATGCAACAGAATGTTCCCCAGCCATAAAAAGTACGAAATCTTGCCATTTGCCACAATATGGGTGGACCTAGAGGGTATAATGCTGAGTAAAGTAAGTCAGACAGAGAAGGACAAATACCGTGTGATTTTGCTTACATGCGGGATCTAAAAGCAAAACAAAGGGACAAACAAAACCCAACTGAAACAGACTCACAGACAACAAACTGATCGTTGTCAGAGGAGAGGGTGGGGGAAGGGTAAAAAAGTGTAACCTTAGACACACTTTTGGTAAAGAAAATCAAGAAATATGTAAATGTCAATGCTTTGTGACTAAATTGAGTTTAAACCAGGAATGCAGGTTTGATTTAAAATTAATAGTTTTGGTCCTGGCTGGTGAAGCTCAGTGGATTGAGTGTGACCTGTGAACCAAAGGGTCACTGGTTCAATACCCAGTCACGACACATGCCTGGGTTGTGAGCCAGGTCCCCAGTAGGGGGCACACGAGAGGCAACCACACATTGATGTTTCTCTTCCTCTCTTTCTCCTTTCCTTCCGCTCTGTCTAAAAATAAATAAATAAAATCTTTTTTTAAAGCCTTTAATTTTTTTAAGATTTTATTTTTATAAATCTTAAAACATTTAATAATTCAGTTCCAAAATATACACCTTTAATAATTCAGTTCCCAAATCCCACTTAAACTATAGCAGCTACAGAGTTGTTAATGATTATGTAGAAGGTTTTATTATTTTAATTAATTAATTAATTAATTAATTAATTTTTGTTGAATTTATTGGGGTGACATTAATAAAAGTATATAGGTTTCATGTGTACAATTCTATAATATATCATCTGTATTGTGTGTTCACCTCCCAAAGTCAAGTCTCTTTCCAACACCATTTATCCCCTCTTCACCCTCTTCTAGGTCCCCCCAACCCCCTTTCCTCTGGCACTCACCATCCTGTTATCTGTCTAGGAATTTTTTTCTTAATCCCTTCACCCTTCTTCTCCTAGCCTCCGACAACCCTCCCCTCTGACAGCTGTCAGTCTGTTCTCTGTGTCTATGAATCTGTTTCTATTTTGTTAGCTTACTTTATTCGTTAGATTCCACATAAAATGGAATCATATGTTCTTTGTCCTTCACTGACCAGCTTATTTCACTTAGCATGCTACCATCCATGTCCATCCATGCTGTTGCAAAAGGTAAGATTTCCTTCCTTTTCATGGCCAAGTAGTATTCCATTGTATAGATGTGCCACAGCTTTTTTATCGACTCATCTACTGATGGGCACTTAGCTGCTTCCAAATCTTGGCAATTGTAAATAACACTGCGATGAACACAGGGGTCCATAGATTCTTTCAAATCAGTGTTTCAGGTGTCTTCAGATATATTCCCAGAAGTGGAATTGCTGGATCATAAGGCAGTTCCATTTTTAATTTTTTTGAGGTAACTCTATACTGTTTTCCATAGTGGTTGTACCAGTCTGCATTCCTACCAACAGTGCACAAGAGTACCCTTTCTCCACATCTTCACCAACATTTGTTTTTTGTTGATTTATTAATGATAGCCATTCTGACAGATGTGAGGTGATATTTCATTGTGGTTTCTATTTGCATTTCTCTGGTGATTAGTGATGTTGACCATCTTTCCATATGTCTATTGGCCATATGTATGTCTTCCTTGGAAAGGTCCTTTGCCCATTTTTTAATCGTATTATTGGTTTTTCTGGTGTTCAGTTTTATAAGTTCTTTAAAATTTTTGAATATGAATCCTTTATCAGCTGTCTCATTGGCGATGATGTTCTTCCATTTGGTGGGTTTTCTTTTCATTTGTTGATGGTTTCTTTCACTGTGCAAAACCTTTTTGATTTGATGTAGTCCCATTTGTTTATTTTTTATTTTGTTTCCCTTGCTTGAGACAATATATCAGAAAAAATATTGCTATGAGAAATGTCTGAGGTTTTAGCAAGTTTTCTTTGGGGAGTTTTATGGTTTCGAGGCTTATGTTTAAATCTTTAATCCATTTTTTAGTTAATTCTTGTGTATGGTGTAAGAAGGTGGTCTAATTTAATTTTTTGCATGTATCTGTGTAATTTTACCAACACCATTTATTGAGTAAACTATCTTTACTTGCTTTCTTTGACAAATATTAATTGACCATGAAGATGGTCAATTTATTTCTGGGCTCTCTATTCTGTTCCATTGATCTATGTATCTGTTTTTATGCCAGTACCATGCTGTTTTGACTACCATAGACTTAAAGTATAGTTTGATACCAAGTAGTGTTATTCCTCTAATTCTGTT